TTTTAAGTTTATTTTTATGTATGGTGTAAGAAAGTGGTAGAGTTTCTTTCTTTTGCAAGTAGCTGTCCAGTTTTCCAACCACCATTTGTTGAAGAGACCATTTTTCTCCATTATATATTCTTGCCTCCTTTGTCAAAGATTCATTGACCACACAAGCATGGTTTTACTTCAAGGCTCACTATTCTGCTCCAGTGATCTATGTACCTATTTATTTATTTATGTATTTATTTATTTATTTATTTATTTTGCCAGTAGCATGCTATTTTGATTATTATAGCTTTACAGTGTATCTTGGAAATTGGGATTGTGATGTCTCCAACTTTGTTCTTTTTCAAGTTTGCTTTGGCTGTTTGGGGTCCTTTGTGGTTCTGTACAGATTTTAGGGTAGTTTGTACTAGCTCTGTGAAAAATGTTGGCATTTTGATAGTGATTGCATTGAATCCATAGATTGCTTTGGGTAGTATTGGAGTTTTAGCAATGTTGGCTCTTCCAGTCCATGAGTATGGAATATCTTTCAACTTGTGTCATCTTTAATTTTTTCATTAGTGTTTCATAGTTTTTGTAGTATGGGTCTTTTACCTCCTTGATTAAGTTTCTCTCTAGGAATTTTGTTATTTTGGGTGTAATTATACATGAGATTGTTTCCTTAATTTTTCTTTCTGCTACTTCATTGTTATTCATTAAAAAATCATTCACCATGATCAAGTGGGATCTATTCTAGGAACGCAGAGGTGGTTTAGTATTCGCAAATCAATCAATGTGATACATCATATTAATAAGAGAAAGACTGAATACCATATGATCATTTCAATAGATGCAGTAAAAGCATTTGACAAAATATAACATCCGTACAAGATAAAAACTGAAAGTAGGTTTAGAGGGAACATACACCTCAACATCATTTTAAGAAAAACCCACAGCTAATGTCATAGTCAGTAGTGAAAAACTGAGAGCTTTTTCTTTAAGATCAGGAACAAGACAAGGATGTCCACTCTCTCCATTTTTATTCAACATAGTGCTGGAAGCACTAACCACAGCAACTGGACAAGAAAAAGATATGACATGATACTACCTAAGTTTCTTTTTAAGAAATGTTAACATTTAAAGGAGTATGTGCTGGTTGAATAGAAAGTTAACTAAATCAAATCTCTAAATCCATGATGAGGCTGTGTAAATTATTTTCTGCTATACACGTTTTGGTCCTGTGTAAAAAAATAAAGCAAGTTGATTTTTTGAAATCATGCTGTAATCTTTACCCTAAAGAAAAGTCTTTTGTAACATTACCTTAAGTTCCTTCTGAATATTAGCATTAGTCTTTTCTATGTGTTCTATAGAAGATACAAATTTTGGTTTTCACTTTCATATTCTATATTATAGATTCTTTCATTCTCATATAGTTTGCCTAACAGTTTTGCCCACCACATATTTCAACAATGTTAGGGTTCCTACTATGTAGCAAGTCAGAAAGAAGGTAATATCACCAACCTATGTAATTAATGCTTTAGTTCACTGTACAATACTGGTTGCTGTAAGCCCTTTATGATGAAAAGGGGCATAAAACATACAAAATGACCAGTCAGTATAGTTCTTTGTTCTCAAGGAATTTCTAATTGTGCCTAAATTCAAAGAGTTGCATAAATTATTTCCTCATTCAATTAAATTACCAACAAATTACTTAAGTGGACCATAGTTACTTGCCCCCTATAGAAAAGCTATCTCTAAGACCTTGACTTAGAGGAGAGATTTTTTTTAAGTGACCAAATGAAGAATTCTCCATTTATTTCACATTTTTATTAAAGGCATTCTCCATTATTTTGTTCCACATACCCCCTTATACTAGAAAAAAAAAAAAACACACATTTTCTCTCTTGGGGATTTAGTATAATTATTTCCAGTAGAAACTAAGAATTTTATAATTCAGTATATAAATTGTGAGAGTTAATACCTGTAGGATTTACATACATGCTTCTTGTTTTCATGGCTTGGTTTTCTGTTTCCTCTTTTACAGTCTTATCTAATGAGTGCCTTTTACTCTAAGCTGACTTAAATCTCATTTTGGAAGGACATAGGATTGAAAACTAAAATAAAAATGATAGAAGAATTTAAGAGTGTCTGTGAAAATACTCTTTTGGCTGTAATCAAGTGCCTGCATTCATAGTTGGCTGTGCCTTTGAGCACGTTATGAGTTAACACCATCAGGGTTTTAAAGTGTAATATAGCAGTGTTCTTCTTGAAGGGCTATGATAGTGATCTTTCCCACCTCTACCATCCCCCAAATATTGTCATGATACTGTAAACATCTTTTTTTTTGTTAGTGGTTAGAAAGTGTCTGTCATTGCTGAATATCATTAGGTATTAAATGGCTGTTGTCTGTAATCATACTATCATTTCTGTTTGTATAGTGTTTTTTCCTCCGTAATTGCTTCAAGGCCTTCACTTAAAGCTGTGCTTACCAGTATTCATTCCTTCTGCAGTTGAGTGTCTGAAAGTGGAAGATCAAGCTACAAAGTGGTCTTAGAAGAGGTAGACCTTTTAAAGAATGGCTTTGCTTTGTCATTGAGACTTAAGGCTGAAGGGGAGTCAAAGAAACAGGATAAAAATGCAACTTTAAATCTGGGAAAGGAAAACTAATGTGTGTTATATCAGTTTTCTGGTAGGATGTGTCATTGTGGGAAAAAATGAACATTTCAAACATGGTTATCAGAGCATGTACATTAATGCCAAAGAGCCAAGTTTACATTGTTTTGTTGTAGTCTTAATTACTAATACATTATTTTCTATATATTGACATCATGAAGCATAAGCTTTTAGTTCTCCTGCCTCTTTGCTTTTGGTATGCTGATTTGTTTTAATTATGAGAAGCATAATTATAGAAAAAAATAGTATTTTTCATTGGTGGTAAATGCTATCACTAAATACATAGTTTTTTTTTTCTTTAAGATTTTATTTATTCATGAGAGACGAGAGAGAGAGAGAGAGAAGCAGAGACACAGGCAGAGAGAGAAGCAGGCTCCATGCAGTGAGCCTAACGTGGGACTCGATCCCGGGTCTCCAGGATCACGCCCCAGACTGAAGGTGGCACTAAACCGCTGAGCCAGTCAGGCTGCCCAGAATACTTAGTTTTTATACAGTAAGAGCCTGTCCCATAGAGAGCTAGCTCCTTTTTTATTCATAGTATATTGAGGTTATTATGTTTTTGATGATTTATTGCTTAGAACTCACTAGATTGTTTTAGCAAATCTTGGTAATTTAAAATAATCCAGAAGTACATTAATATCAGAGGTACACAATTATTTTTGCTAAACTACCATGACTAAAGATACCAAACAAGGTGATTCCCAAACTGAAAATGTTTAGTTTCCTACTGATAGAAGCATTTCAGTTCTGTATTTCTGAAATGTTACGTGTATAATCCTACCTGATTTATCAGTGAAATAAATCTTTGCAAGTTTCTTGACCTTACAGATTTGGGGAACTTCAAATCTCAGTCTGATAGGGAAAGTTTCCAGTTTTACAGTTGGCCATTCACTTATTCATTCACTTATCAAAAAATGTGAAGCAACTACTATGTGCTCTTGTAGCTGCAAGGGACATTCAGCTAGATGAGAAACAGGTACTGCCCTTAAGGAGTAGGGGAAAGAAGCCTCTATATACACGATTGCAATATAGTATGTTATAAATGCTGTAAAGAAGCATCTGCAAGGCACAGCATTTACCCAAAGGAAGGAGTAATCTACAAACTGGATGCCTTAGTCTGGGGTTTCCTCTCTGGCTTCTGTGATGTTTCTTTCATCCTTCCTATTAGTTGCCAGAATTAGGCAAGGGGAGGGTTAGGAGAGTAAAATCAGCTTTAATTGAGCTAAAGAAGCAGGACCAAGGGGGACTCAGGGCAAAAGTTCCTTGATTTGGAGCCAAGGGTGTCTGAGCTCCTTGAGGTGAGACTTGATGTGAAAAGAGGGTCATCTCTTCCTTGTAATCCACTTCAGCAAGGATGTTTGTTCTCACTGATTGCATTCATGCCTGCATTTTAAACTTTAAGCTTCAAGGACTACATCTGGGTTGGTTTTGTTTGTTTTTTAAACTGAGGACTTCAAGAATCAAGTCTCCTGTTGGGTACAGGGGACCTTAACACAATATAGTTGTATGGATGGCTTAGCTTCAAGGCTCTTTAAGAACCCTTTAGTACTGCCAACCCTTTAGTACTGTAAGAACATTTCTTAAGGTATGGTACTAAGGTGGATAAAATAAAGAAAAATAAGAAAGAAAAGGGTACTTCCCTCCCCCCTCCTTTTAGTTTTGTATCTAGACTAAAGAAAGAGGAAGGAAAGCAAATGGTTAGAAAGTAGAAATAGGCTGGGAAGTAGCAGTTGGTAAAATATGAAGGATAATTAATTCATTAGGTTGAAAGTGCCTGTGGATCAAGAAATAGTAAGATTAGGAATGTTAGGGGAGTGTCTCAGGGTGCCACATATAGCTTGGCAATGACAAATGACCTTTTACTTGGTTTGAATCTACCTATAGATTAGGTTAAAGCTTGTGGTAATATGTAAAAGTCTTTGTATATATTTAGGCTATAAGTATTTATTGATTTAAGCTCATCTTTATGATTTACTTCTAAATCTCGATATTTCATTATACTGTTCTTAGTCTCTAAAAACTTACAGATGGGAGTTGTTTTTTTGCTAAATCTACAGAAATACAGGTCATTCTGGGAGTCAGAATTATATTAATATATTATTTGTGAAATTATAAGCTGTTGCTCTACTATTATCTGTTACTGTCACTAGTCATTCATATGTGTCAGAAATGAAACACCATATATTGCAGTGGATGCAGTGTACTTGTAGTTCATTAGCGATCACTCTTAGTCTGTGGCTTTCCAAACTGATTTAATGATGCACAGATCGGAAGTAAAATATATACATAGAAAGAGAAAGAGTGTGTGTGTCTCACTATTGTCCAAAGTATGAGCTCATTTTATTGACCTTTTTATAAACTAGATGCTATCTGATGCAGCACCTGGAAAACTGAGAATTGTCCATGGAGATGTGTTGACATTTAAGATAGAAAGGGCTTTTCCAGAAAGTCTTAAAAGACCTTGGGAGGATGGTAAGTGATTTGGGGTTGATTTTCTTATTCTTTTTTTATGATTATTTATATTACAAACATTTATATGTTACAAATGTTATTATATATTTATATTAAATATTATCAGAATAGAATTAAATAGGTGGCACGCATTGTATTTTTTTCTGCTTTCCTACTTTTTCCCAAATAAAAATCTAATTCTTTTTCTTTTTTTTAATAATAAATTTATTTTTTATTGGTGTTCAATTTGCCAACATACAGAATAACACCCAGTGCTCATCCCGTCAAGTGCCCCCCTCAGTGCCCACCACCCAATCACCCCCACCCCCCGCCCTCCTCCCCTTCCACCACCCCTAGTTCGTTTCCCAGAGTTAGGAGTCTTCCATGTTCTGTCTCCCTTTCTGCTATTTCTATCCATCTCTTCTCCCTTCCCCTCTATTCCCTTTCACTATTATTTATATTCCCCAAATGAATGAGACCATATAATGTCTGTCCTTTTCCGATTGACTTACTTCACTCAGCATAATACCCTCCAGTTCCATCCACGTTGAAGCAAATGATGGGTATTTCTCATTTCTAATGGATGAGTAATATTCCATTGTATACATAAACCACATCTTCTTTATCCATTCATCTTTCGATGGACACAGAGGCTCCTTCCACAGTTTGGCTATTGTGGACATTGCTGCTAGAAACATCAGGGTGCAGGTATCCTGGCGTTTCATTGTATCTGTATCTTTGGGGTAAATTCCCAGCAGTGCAATTGCTGGGTCATAGGGCAGGTCTATTTTTAACTCTTTGAGGAACCTCTGCACAGTTTTCCAGAGTGGCTGCACCAGTTCACATTCCCACCAACAGTGCAGGAGGGTTCCCTTTTCTCTGTATCCTCGCCAGCATTTGTGGTTTCCTGCCTTGTTAATTTTCCCCATTCTCACTGGTGTGAGGTGGTATCTCATTGTGGTTTTGATTTGTATTTCCCTGATGGCAAGTGATGCAGAGCATTTTCTCATGTGCTTGTTGGCCATGTCTATGTCTTCCTCTGTGAGATTTCTGTTCATGTCTTTTGCCCATTTCATGATTGGATTGTTTGTTTCTTTGGTGTTGAGTTTAATAAGTTCTTTATAGATCTTGGAAACTAGCCCTTTATCTGATAGGTCATTTGCAAATATCTTCTCCCATTCTGTAGGTTGTCTTTTAGTTTTGTTGACTGTATCCTTTGCTGTGCAAAAGCTTCTTATCTTGGTGAAGTCCCAGTAGTTCATTTTTGCTTTTGTTTCTTTTGCCATCGTGGATGTATCTTGCAAGAAGTTGCTGTGGCCGAGTTCAAAATCAATGCCCAGAAGTCAGTGGCATTTCTATACACTAACAATGAGACTGAAGAAAGAGAAATTAAGGAGTCAATCCCATTTACAATTGCACCCAAAAGCATAAGATACCTAGGAATAAACCTAACCAAAGAGGTAAAGGATATATACCCTCAAAACTATAAAACACTTCTGAAAGAAATTGAGGAAGACACAAAGAGATGGAAAAATATTCCATGCTCATGGATTGGCAGAATTAATATTGTGAAAATGTCAGTGTTACCTAGGGCAATTTACATGTTTAATGCAATCCCTATCAAAATACCATGGACTTTCTTCAGAGAGTTAGAACAAATTATTTTAAGATTTGTGTGGAATCAGAAAAGACCCCGAATAGCCAGGGGAATTTTAAAAAAGAAAACCATATCTGGGGGCATCACAATGCCAGATTTCAGGTTGTACTACAAAGCTTTCCAGTGTGGTACTGGCACAAAAATAGATACATAGATTAATGGAACAGAATAGAGAATCCAGAAGTGGACCCTCAACTTTATGGTCAACTAATATTCGATAAAGGAGGAAAGACTATCCACTGGAAGAAAGACAGTCTCTTCAATAAATGGTGTTGGGAAAGTTGGACATCCATATGCAGAAGAATGAAACTAGACCACTCTCTTGCACCATACACCAAGATAAACTCAAAATGGATGAAAGATCTAAATGTGAGACAAGATTCCATCAAAATCCTAATTCCTTTTTCTTAATTCTAACTTGTCTCATGTTTTTCCAAGTGTTTAGAATTTTCTTCAAATAAACTTGCTATTTTTAAGTCCATGTAAGGATGGGATAAGCTATGAGGTGTTACTTTTTCCAAATGGTGAAAAAAGAAATGTATTAGTAAACCAAGCCCCACCTAATTTTCACTATCTCACATTCAGTGACCAGCCAAGGCATTCTTCATTTATAGGCAGTTTATTGGGTACTATTACATGTCAGCTCCTTGGAATACATAGATAAATGGGGTGTATTACTTGCCTGTGAAACCCCTCAGAACAATGGAGGTGCTACTGCTGGACCTCCATCTAACTGCTTCATGTCTCTGGCCTCTCCATAGCCAGACTTCTTCAGAGAGGTTGGTACTGCTTGTTTCTGCCTTCCAAATGTATTCTCTCCTTAGCACACTGCCTCCAGATTTCCAGCTCTGTCCCAGGCATGCTGGAGTCACAGTGACCTCCTGAATTCCTCCCTCAAACCGTCTCTGACTGAGCTCTCAGGCATTTATTTGGCTCTCTTCCAGAAGTGTCTCTTCCAAAAGTGTCTCTGCTCCTGTCCCAAGTTCTCCTATTCTTCCTTTTACAATGGGTGAGCTTTCTCTGGCTATTCTTTGCTGGTGGTTATTTTTCCACCAACCTCTTAGATGATGTTTCTAAGACTTTTCCTTTTTGAGCATCTTCTCTTGTGCTAAAGATTGGCTTGAAGGGCTCTGCTCCTGTAGTTTTGCTGTATATTGCAGACACTTCCATCTTTATACACAGCCTGTATCCCCTTCCTGGGCATCTGACCCTTTGACAGCTTCATCTGGATGCCCCATAGACTTTGAGCATATCATGTCCAGATCAAATTGGCTTTTCCCTCAAACCAAGTCTTTGTCATATTTTTCCTAAGCCAAAAAACCTGAGGACTTTGAACATTAATAATGTTAGAATTGTTTTTCTTAATAATTCAGAGCTGATTGTGAGTAAACATTGCTCTTGAAGAGTAAATGGACTGAAAAATATTTATCCTTATCTTTTCATATATTTTTGTTTGATACTATTAGTATCCAGTTTGATTTAATTCTTAACTAAAATTGAATTCAGAATTCATTGATAAAATCATAACAAGTTGTTTTTTTTTTTCTCCTGCTAACCAGATCCTCCAAATGTACATATTATTGGGAATCTGCCTTTTAGTGTATCAACTCCGCTGATTATTAAGTGGCTTGAAAATGTCTCTTGTAGAGATGGACCTTTTGTTTACGGCAGAACCCGGATGACACTGACTTTTCAAAAGGAAGTGGCAGAGGTGCGTTTTAACTTTTTTTGGCTATTTTATCACATGATGAAATTCCAAAACAAAATAATCCTGCATTTTTGTCACAGACTATGTTTTCTTTTTCTTTTTTAAAAGATTTTATTTATTCATTCATGAGAGACACAGGCAGAGGGAGAAGCAGGCACCCTACAAGGAGCCTGATGCGGGACTCGATCCTGGGACTCCAGGATCACGCCCTGAGCCAAAGGCAGATGTTCAACCACTGAGCCACCCAGGCATCCCAGACTATGTTTTCTAAGTTAGTATTCCCATTACATGCACAAACCAACAGCTGAACTAAAAGTTAAATACACAGTGATGGTGACAGGCATAACTGCTGTAAGCTCTCCATGGAGAATATGAATGATGTGCCGCCAGCCGGAGAAAGCAGTGTAGTCCATTCAGGGACTCAATAGGGCCATAGAACACATTAGAAGCAGACGAAACCTGTAGGATATTGGTGATATAGTAATATATAAAGATTGGCATGTGATATGTTAAAATTGATATATTGAAGTGAATAAGATGATAGTTAAAGAATGTGATAATCAATTTGAAGAAAGGGAAGGGGGTTGGTGTCTTATTTTGCAGTACACAGACTTTCACTTAATCCCTTCCTTCAGCTGTGCCTGCATTCCCATCGCAAGAGTGTTCCAGGTTCACTTGAGAAAATAATCCTGCAAAGGGCAATTTGTGAGCTGCAGAGGTTTAATGAGGGGATCTGCAGACTGCAAGTGTATATGACAAATACAGAAGAGTATATGACATATTTGTGTGCCTAATAAGAACACCTGAATCCCCACCACTCAAGTCAATAGTTATATTCCCAACATCTTTGACACCCCCTTATATGCCTCATTGTGATCATACCTAGTATGCTACTAGGGTAATCAGTACTGTGAATCCAAGACTTCTTATTTCCTGCTTAGTTTATCTCATAGATTCTTATCTGTATAATTAATTTACTTTAGTTTTCTTCATTTTTGAACTTATGCATATGGATTCATACAGCATGTATTTTTTATCCTGATTTACTCATGCTGCTTATAGCTGTAGTTTATTTGTGTAGCCAGATATGATCCACTCTTTGACTAACTCATAATTTTCCTGTCCATTGTCCTGTTTTGGAACCCTAAATTAGTTTCAGTGTTTGTTATTACAAACAAAACTGTGATGAAGATTCTTCTATTTATGTCAGCTGGAGCGTGCTGCATGCTCCAGCTTCCGATCAGCCATAGCAACTGCGGCTAGTTCCTCCTGGGCCTCACCCACGGGTAAACAACCCCCGCTGAGCCCGGCAGCAGGCAGGGCATAGCATCTCCCCCAAGTGCGACACCTGGAGATTCAAGCACACAGGCCCCTCCCCCAGAAGACCAGCTGGACGGACCAGTGATACTCCCCCGTGTTCCAATACCACTTGTTTTTTGGCCACTCAGCACTGAGCAAATGACTAGAAGAAAACCATCACCGCAAACAAAGAATCAGAAACAGTCCTCTCTCCACAGAGTTCAAAATCTGGATAACACTTCAATGTCCAGAAAGCCAATTCACGAAGCACCATTATACAGCACTGTTGCTCTAGAAAAAAGCATTAAGGCCTCACGAAGAATTCATGACTGCAGATTTAAACCAATCAGCAGAAATTAAAATCAATAGAATGAGATGCAATCAAACTAGAATCCTAACGACGAGGTTAACCGAGGTGGAAGAACGAGTGAGATGACCATAGAAGAAAAGTTAATGCAAAGAGGGAAACGAAGAAAAAAGAGAACAATTAAGGGACCAAGAAGACAGATATAAGGCAAATAAATGACACTCTAAAGGAAGAAAAACTACCGTTTATTTGGTCCCGAAGGGCTGCCGAAGGGACAGAGGGCCAAATATGTATTTGAACAAATCCTAGCTGAAAACCTTTCCCAAACTGCGAGGGAAACAGGCATTCAGAATCCAGAGAAATAGAGAGATCCCCCCTAAAATCAATAAAAACCGTTCAACCCTCGACATCTAATAGTGAAGCTTGCAAATTCCAAAGATAAAGAGAAGATTCCCATAAAGCAGCAAGAGACAAGAAGTCCTGACTTTCATGGGAGAATATTAGGAAACAGCAGACCTCTCCACAGAGACCGTCAGGCAGAAAGGGCTGGCAGGATATATTCAGTCCTAAATGATAAAACATGCAAGCCCCCCAAGAATACTATATCCCAGCAAGCTCTCAATCAAATAAAGGAGAGATAAAGAGCTTCCAAACAGGCATGGAACTGAAAGATATGTGACCTCCAAACCAGCACTGCAAGAATTTAAGGGGGGACTCTTAAACTCCCCTTAGAGAAGAAGTTCAAGTAACTCTGAACGTGAATGGCTTAATGACCCCCATCAAAAGGCGCAGAGTTTCAGACTGGAAAAAAAAACAGACCCATCTGTTTTGCTGTCTACACGAGACTCATTTTAGACAGAAGGACACCTACAACCTGAAAATAAAAGGATGGAGAACCATTTACCATTCAATGTTTTCTCAAAATATACCCTAAAAACTAACAGAACACTTCTGAAAGAAAATGAGGAAGACACAAAGAGATGGAAAAATATTCCATGCTCATGAGATTGGCAGAATTAGATATTGTGAAAATGTCAATGTTACCCGGGCAATTTACACGTATAATGCAACCCTATCAAAATACCATGGACTTTCTTCCAGAGACTTAGAACAAAATTAATTTTTAAGATTTGTGTGGAATCGAAAGACCCTACCCAAACAGCCAGGGGAATTTTAAAAAAGAAAACCATATCCTGGGGGCATCACAATGCCAGATTTCAGGTGTAAACTACAAAGCTGTGTGTTCTCAAGACAGTTTGGTAACTGGCACCAAAACAGAACCATATAGATCAATGGAACAGAACAGATAACCCAGAAGTGTACCCTGAACTTTATGCTCCAACTAATATAGCGATAAAAGGAGAAAAGACATCCACTAGAAGAAAGTCTCTTCAATAAATGGTGCAGGGAAAATTGAACTCCACATGCAGAAGAATGAAACTGGACCACTCTCTTGCACCAGCAACAAAGATAAACCAAAATGGATGAAAGATCTAAATTGTGAGACAAGATTCCCATCAAAATCCCAGAGAAGAACTCAGGCACACCCTTTTTGAACTTGGCCCACAGTAACCGGCGAAGGACAAACAGTGTATGTTCTCATTCATATGGGAATATGAATAATATCGAAAGGGAATATAAGGAAGGGAGAAGAAATGTGAGAGAAAAATCAAGCAAGGGGACAGTAACATAAAGAGTTCAAACTCTGGAAATGAACTAGGGGTGTAGGAGGGGGAGGAGTGTGGGGGGGTGGGGTTAATGGGTGGACGGGCACATGAGGGTACACTGACGGGATGAGCACTGGTGTTATTCTGTATGTTGGTAAATGAACACCAATAAAAATTAATTTATCAAAAAAAAAGAAAATATATATTAAATAAGAAATATATATATATAATAGATATAAAATAGTATATATATATTATTCAGGAGTGGCAGTGCTGGATCATAAGTTCTGCAAATCTGCACTTTTGCTAGGTAATGCTGAATTATTCTCCGAAGTCATTATGCCTACTTATAGTTCCACAAAATTTGTATAAGTTCATTTTGTTCCATATCCTTGTCAGTATTTGGAATTGCCAGAATTGTACATTTTTGTTCATCAGAGCTGAATGGTGTGTCATTGCAGTTTTGTCTTTTGCTGAGTTTTTAAAAAATCAAATTGAGCACCATTTTGCATCTTTCTTGGCCTTTTGGATAACTTATTTTTTGTGAAGTGCTTGCCCTTTGTCCACTTTTCTGTTGGATCTCTTGTCTTTTTCTCATTGATTTGGAGGAGTTCTAACATACTTTCCATACTAGTCTTTTATTAGTTCAATGTATTGCAAATTTCTTCTACTCTTTGGCATGTTACTGTCTTTACAGTGTCTTTTGAAGAACAGGTATTTTTTTTCTTTTTTTTTTTTTTTAGAACAGGTGTTTTTAATTGTAAATTGGTGGTTATTGCTCTTTGTGTCTTTTTGAAGAACTCCTTTTATATCCTGATATCATGAAGATATCCTTCTGTGTTATCTTCTAGAAGCTCTGTTGTTTTACCCTTCACATTTACGTCTATAATCCACTTGGAATTGATTTTTGTGTGTGGTTGAAAAAAGAAGCCAGTTTCACTTTTTTTTTTTTTTTAAGATTTTATTTATTTATTTGAGAGAGAGACAGATGGAGACAGAGCATGAGCAGTGGTGGAGGGGCAGAGGGAAAAGGAGAACCAGACTCTCTATTGAGCAGGGAGCCTGACACGGGGCTCAGTCCCAAACCTGGAGATAATGACCACTGCCAAAGGCAGATGCTTAACCCCCCAGATGCCCCAGTTTTGCTGTTTTTAATATATGATCCCAATGAACCTAGCACCAGTTATTGAAGTCTTTTTCACTGATCTCTATCAACATGTCTGATACAGTGCCTTTACCTATAAACATTGGTCTGATGGAGACATCAAGAAGAAAGACTGAAATCTAGGAAACAGAAGCCCTGGTATGGAAGATAGAGCAGGGCATCTTCAGAAGAATGTTCAGTTCACATCAGGGCAGCAAGAATTTAGTAAAATACCTATCACGTTTGCATATACTGAAAGAATAGTTACGTAAGTTGGGGAGAGTGTAGGATTGAATTAGTGATAAGCGAAGAGAAAATTAAATACAGTAGGGGTTGAAGGAAATAAAGTATATCATAATTAGAGACACAAAAATATTATTGGAAAATCTGTAATTATTTTGGAAACCTAAGGAAAAAAGAAGGACCTGTATAAAAATAGTCACAGTTTACTGAGAGTCTCAAAAGATCACTGAGATAAATCAAGACAAATAGAGCCCTGAAAAAAAAATAAAAGAGTGTTATAAAAATGCATTTACGTTTTTTCAATAACATCTTGAAATGTAGGGAAGCTCCAGGGATCATTTGA